ATAGTGATATAGAGATATTAATTTTTTTATAATATTTTTATACAATTTTTATTTGTTATGAAATAAGTATATCTATTTAGTATTATACATCTTCAATAAATAAAAATAACTTATCATTTAAATAAAATGTAAAATTATATTAAAAAATAAAAAAAAATTATCTCTAAATTATTTTCCTAATAAATAATCCTCATTTATCATCAACCTATTTCATCCATACAATTTATTAGAATCGAAAGTCTCTCTTTTAAACAATTTTGGCATTATTTATAGGTATATATGAGGGAGGAAAAAAATGAGTTCTGTAGGAGTAAAAAATGTCACCCAGAGGAGATGAATAGCCTTAACTTAGGGTTTAATACCACTAAACTGAAAGAAACCATTCAGAATCGAGGATCTCTTGATTTTACTAAAAAAAAAATAATATTACTAAATTACTTAATTCATTACTTACATAATTAAATACTTTAATTTCATGAAATATAGGGTATTAATTATCTATATGTTGGAGTCGAATAAGGTATGTAATTCATTACAACACAAACATAAATCGATCCGCAATTAATTTCAAAATTACTTCAAGAATAGTGCCTAATTATTTGCACACATTTTTACTCTTTTCCATTTGCTACTTTTAGTAATAAAATTAAAACAATCCTTCAAAATTTAAGAAAATATCTACAGTAAATTAAATACCCAAGTAAATTGAGGGGAAGCTGGCGGCGGATCGAGCGGCGGAACCTTAAAATTGCACATCCCTTTCTCGTTTATTAAAATCAACGGTCTCGATTATCCTCCACCTCCTCATCCAACGGCCCAAACATTAACCGCGTTTGCAAGCTCAACCCATGTAATATCCTTCATCCTCAACATAAAAGCCTGTCCTTAGACCCTAACCGTCTTCTCCCTTTTCTCTCGCTCTCCGAGCAACACATAGAAACTCAGATTCATTCTTGTGAAAAAACTGAACTCGGATTCAATTCAATTTAAATTTGTTGAATCTAATCGAAATCTTTGTTTTTTGGGTTTTCTTTATTTCGTTTGATTTGTTTGTAAACAAGTGGAAGAGATAAGGATGCAAACCAATGGTTCTGAATCGCAGCCGCAAAAACTGCAGGAGCAGGGTCAACGGCAGCAGCAGCAGCCACAGACGCAGTGGGTGGCGATGCAGTATCCGGCGGCGGCGATGGTAATGCAGCACCAGATGATTCCACCTCAGCATTTCGTTCCTCCACCACCTCAGCACTACATGCCTTACCCGCAGTACCAGCACCATCCCGGCCTCCACGTGCAACATCCTCAGCCGCAGCAGCAGCAGCAGCAGCAGCAGCAGTCTCAGGGATCTAGCAGCGAGAATAAGACAATCTGGGTTGGGGACTTGCATCACTGGATGGACGAGAACTATCTCCATGGCTGCTTTGCTTCCACCGGAGAGGTCTAAGAAACTAAAGTTCCTCCCTTTATATATATAACATGAATGGATAAGTGCATACGCGTTAGGCTTTGATAAGTGTATGCTAAAGATATCATTTTGTCGATGCTATGATTAACTGATTATGTTTCTTTTGAGATGATTTTATTTTTTCCTTGAGTTCTGCCGTTTTCAGATTTCTTCATGGTGTTCTTGTTTGTTTTTATGATAAACTTGGAAAAACTCATAGAGGGAAAACAACAAATGAACTAATTTCTGTTGTTTATTGTTAAACAGGACAGTATTTCTTGTACAATGGCTATATGTCAACAAGATAAGCTAATATCATGTTGGGCAGGGATCAGAGTAAAGGAGGGCATTTGAATTGTATTTTATTTTGACAGTTTTTAGTGAACGACTCCAATTTATCATCATTAGTGTAGCTTCTGCAGCTTTGGCACTGTCTGATGATTCAATACATTTGAAATATAACCATTTAAGCAAAATAGAATGCTAATTAAGTTGTTTTGATTCTATAGTTTTGTTCTGCAGTCCATGCAGTACAGATATATGTATTGGTTCTTTTCAATGTTCTCTATCAAGGGGGAAAAAATAGAGTATTTCTTATTGGTGAGCCATCTGTTGGCTCTAGGACTAAGAATGCTTCTTTGTTTCAACACTGTCACCATATTTTGATGATTTGTAACCATTGATTTTGATGGCACTGGTTCTTAGTCCTGTGAAAAATTATGTTTTTGTGTCAATCTATTCAGTTACAAAGCCCTGTTCCCTAATGTGTAAATGCCATACATTTTGCAGATTGTGTCCCTTAAGGTTATTCGCAATAAGCACACTGGTTTATCAGAAGGCTATGGTTTTGTGGAGTTTTTTACACATGCAACGGCTGAAAAAGTTCTGCAGAACTATGGTGGCATTTTGATGCCTAATACAGACCAACCCTTTCGTCTTAATTGGGCAACTTTTAGCACAGGAGAAAAGCGTTCAGAAAATGGTCCTGATCTTTCCATCTTTGTAGGAGATTTAGCAGCAGATGTTACTGATAGCTTGTTGCATGAAACTTTTGCCAGTAAATATACTTCTGTTAAAGCTGCAAAAGTTGTAATTGATGCCAATACCGGTCGATCAAAAGGCTATGGTTTTGTGAGGTTTGGAGATGATAATGAAAGGACACAGGCCATGACAGAAATGAATGGTGTAGTTTGTTTGAGCAGGCCTATGCGCATTGGTCCTGCAACACCCAGGAAGTCATCTGGATATCAACAAGGTTATTCTTTTTGTTGTCCTTTATCCATTTGCTCAATGCTCTTGACTATAGTGCCTGAGTATTGGTACTTCAAATTTGTTATCATTTTGTTTAAGGATTTATTATATTTGTTGCTAAGGTGTTGTTTATTCACCTATCTTCCTCCTTGGGCACTTTTTCGCCTACAATAAAATGCTTATTCTTTAAAAACTTACCCTCTCCATGGAAAGTTACCTATATTGGTATATCTTGTTTAAAGATGCTGACAAATTCGTCTTTCTTTTACGAAATGGCTTGCTAGTTACTTCTGCTACGATAAATTTGGTATAGCTGCTCCTAAGTTGTTTAAAGATTTTGTGCCTTGGGATATTTACACTTCCTTTGCAGGCAATGGAATTTTGGTATTACTGCCTCTATTTTTGTCTGTAACCAGAGTTGGAATATTCCTCTGCTTTATATTTACTGTTTTTCCCTGTAATAGGTCTTCTATTAATCTCTGTTATAGTGTTATTTTAATCTGCATGAGAATATTCTCAAGTTTTTCATGTTTTCCTTCTAAGTGACATGCAAGGCTGCTACTAATATTAGCATATTTTACAGTAAATCATTTTCTGATCTTTTCATCACTCATGAACTCTCTGTGTCCAGAAAGTCACCCTAAGTGGAGTTAATTCTTTGATTAAGATATTGTTGTTGTTTAGTTCATTACTTATATATGTTTGTGCAGGTGGATATATGTCAAATGGTGGTTCAGCTCAACCTGATGCAGTTTCTTCAAACACTACAGTGAGTTCTGCTTGTTATTTTGGTTTGTCCGTTAGAAGAACCCCAGTATTTCCCTATCCTTTTACTAATTCCTTTTTATTAGATATTTGTTGGAGGGCTTGATCCTAATGTTACTGATGAAGAGCTGAGGCAATCTTTCTCTCAATATGGTGAAATAGTCTCTATTAAAATACCTACCGGAAAAGGATGTGGATTTGTACAATTCGCGAACAGGTAAATTCTGTGGCTGCTTTGCCATATTGAATGTAGATTATGGATGTTAAGGTATTAGTTCTTGTGTTTACTGAGTTATTCAATTTCTACTCAGCTTCACTGAAACTTCTGTCAATTCTTGACAGGAAAAATGCTGAGGAGGCATTAGAGAAGTTGAATGGTGCAGTAATTGGTAAGCAGACAGTACGTCTTTCTTGGGGTCGCAATCCTGCAAATAAGCAGGTATTCCTCGTTCCCTGCCTGCTAAAGTATTCTTTCTTCAACATCTTTTGATGAAGAAGTTGTCTTTTTCCTTGTTTTTTCACCTCATTAGATATGTTCTCTGGGGTACTTGCAGTTTAGAGCTGATTTTGGAAACCAGTGGGGCGGACCTTACTATGGAGGGCAGGTCTATGATGGTTACGGGTATGCATTACCACAGCCTCACGACCCAAGCATGTATGCCGCTGCTGCTGCAGGGTACGGGGCTTACCCTATCTATGGCAGCCACCAAAAGCAAGTAAGCTGATCTAATGGAAGGAGGATCTAGTAGCTCGAGTAACCCACACTAGAGGAGGCAAATCTGCCTTGCTTGTCGCTGCATAGCTCACTTGGGTTGTGTAGAATTGTTATAAATCCCTCGTACTGTGGAGTGGAACTGAATTTTGACTACTGAAGTAATCTCTAGGGAGATTGGATTCATTATTTGTTTAATTTATTAGGATTATAAGGGAACTAGACCTTAGTCCACACTATCTGCAGTTTTATCTTTATTTTTTAAATATTTTTAATAATTATAAATTTTTATAGTAATAATTAATTATAAATTCATCTTAGAATATTCTTTCTCTTAATTTTAAATTTATTGTAATTAAAAAAAATGTTTAAATGGTAAGTATAAATAAGGCTTAAGTGCAAAAATTTAATTAATTTATTTTAAAAGAATAAAGACATTTTCATAATTTGTTATTATATATCCTTTTATAAAACATTCTCAATTCTCTAATTTGTTTCATCATCATATATTTATATTATAGTTATGTATTTTAATTTAACCCTAATTTAATATATGTATCTCTTCTCATTTCTATTTTTTAAATTTGATATTTTTTATATTATTTTAGACTTTTATTATCTTTTTGCATCTATTTCACTTTTATTCTCTCATATTATCTTTATGTGTTTGTGTATGGGGTGTGTATATATATATATATATATCCCTCTTAATAATAATAATTTAGCTTTTTAATTTTTTTATTTCTTACTATCTCTTCTCTATTGTTCTTTCTTAA